GTACATAAAAAAAAAAAAAATTTAAAAGCAGGTAGGAATTTTCATCCTGAAATTAAACAAACAAAATATGTATATAAAAAAATTAAAAAATACTTTAAAAAAACAATTTTCAATCTGAAAGCATGCCATGAACCCAATTAAAATAAATTGGCAGTTTATCTGCTTTAGTCTTAAAAATACTGGGAAGCAAGGGAGGAATTTATCCATATAACTATTTTTTCCAGATGTCCTACTTTACTCCGAGAGGGATAAAACCATGTGATATAAGTGACACACCCATTATGAAAGGGTTAATAAAATAGATTTTAAGGGTAGCAGTTTCAAATAAAGGTAGACAGGGATGATTAACTGCCAGTTTATTTTAATTGGCTTAAAAAATATTGTAAAAGCAAGTACAAATTTTCATTTGGAAAGTAGATCATAAATTTATGCATAAAAGAAAAAAAGATTTTAAAAGGAGAAAGAAATTTCAATCACAAAAGTAGACAACAAGTGAATCACAGTAATTTAATACAAATGATATAATAGGTGTCATCTAAGCATTTTATCTTATAAATAACTCCTATTAAGTTACCTGGGCAATCCTTTACAGATACTAACTTAGGATATATAAAATGTAATACACATTTGAGTATGACATATCAAAACGACTTCAAGTTTGTAAATCAGCTAAATAAATGACAACTACAGACAATATAAAATCATAGTGCAATGTAATGTATTACAATGAAATTTTAATATTGTTTGGCATTTTATAGGTAGAGAGATGCCACAGAATATTTATCACTTTTGAGAATAGTATATAACAGCTCTTTATGGGGAAAGATATTCATAAACACAGATCATAAAGACATATTCAGATATGGGATTTAGAATTTACAAGGTAGGAATATCCTTTGTGCTTAATGGAATTGGAAGACAAAGAATATAGATTACCTTGGAGCACCTTAGCCATTCAGAAAGACACCTGTAACAAGTTCTGCCCCAGACACAGTAACCAAAATGTGGCATCCTCTAACCCATGAGAATCATGAACACAAAGGTCAGTGGCAAAAGCTGCCTATATGCCACATGCAACAGTATAAAACATAATCAACAAAGATAACCATCTGGAAACAAAGCCAACAGAGCATGGTTTACAAAAATAAGGCTTCTAATTATAATTTCTATTTAACTGTGCAACAATGTACTTTGCAAGCCCATCCTTGACAAAATAAAACTTAAACCCACCCTATATTTTTCAGGAAATCATTTATCCCCTCTTAGACTCCCATAAAATGTTAGCCTCCATTACTGCCAACAGCAACTCATTTCATAAATCAATCGATCTGTTAGAAAAATAAAACTGTTATAACTTGGGCCCAGCCTGTCTTTCTCAAGTCTCAAGTTTCTGTCCTCTCATCTTTGTTACATATACATGACTGTTTCTATTTAAATTTAATGCAAGAGTTATGATTTAGATAGTTATATAGCACAAGTGTTAAATTCACTTATTTTTAGAAGTGATAGTTTATTGCACTTTTGTTTATGTAGCTATTTACAACTCATACACTGTGTAGTTCAACAGGTATGAATTGGTGATTGTTATATTATTGCATCAAGTTACTAGAATCTTCCAAGTTTTTCTCATTGTTTTTAATTGAGTATTATTGCATCATAATATCTAGTAAGGTGTGGAATATTCTAGACCTCTGTTGAAGTATAGATATGTGTCGAAAATTTAGTTCAAAAGTTAGATCTAGACTGTGTGATTGTGAGTTTAGCCATAAAGAGCATGTAGTAGTGATTTTTAAATTGAAAATTATAATTTTCCTACACTGGAAACGTATTTCTGACAGGTACTTACTTCTGCTCACATACATAGCTATTATCATTTAGTGCTGCCCTCTATTTCCATAAATTTGTTTGCATGCCACAAGCCTTTCACTTTCATGCACCTCTTGATCCACATGGTTTAACCGATTCTCACATGCAAATTATCATGTGACAAACCTCTACCACACACCCACGTGACTCCCTCTATGCTATTCTACCTGACTATCATTTTGAGTTTAGGCAGAAACATAAGTACCAGTTTTCAGTGGAGAGGAAGGGTGGGAAGTGTGAACAGAAGTAAGTACCTATTGGAAATACAATTTCAGTGTAGGAAAATTATAACTTCCATCAAGGTATCTTACTTCTGCTTACATACATAGCTAGAACCTCATACTGAATAGGTGGAGAGACCTGTGCGAGGGAGAAAGTAGAAGTATCTGAAAGACACCGCACAACTTCTGTATCATGTATACTCTTCGCCCAGATGTGGAAAAGGCGAGACAGGTCCAGGCAGAAAATTGAGAGGAGTACATCCCAATGTGAAAGAAAACGCTTATATACACACACAATTGTATTGGTGGTAAAAATAATGTAGAAATTACAATTACACTATATAACCATGTCAGCTGAATTTGATAAGTGGATCAAAAGAAGTGAGCATCTTGAGCTAAATGACAGTGAACTACGAGAGTTTGTTAAACAACAACAAGACCTAGAGAGAGAAGATCGTAAGCAGAGAAGGGAGGAAGAAAGACTAAAAGAAGAAAAGGAGAGACAGGAAATAGCCAGCAGGAAAAAAATATGAGCACAAATTGAGAAAGAAAAAAAGGGGAGAGAGACTGGAAATAGAGAGAATGAGAACACAACTGAGATCACTAAGCTCAACCAACAGAAAGATGAAGGTCCCAAGAAAGACAATGGGGTCAGGGCCAGCTGACCCAACCTCCCAATATTTGATGAACAGAAAGACAACATGGGTGCTTTACTAGAGAGACAAAACTGGGACAAAGGCAACTGGGCAGCCTGCCTCAGGACTCCTTCTCACAAGAAAAGGCCTACAGGTGTATGTGAGCATGACATCAGAAGATGGCATGGACTATGGCAAGTTAAAAGTGGCTTTGCCAAAACACTATGAACTTACAGAGTAAGGCTTTTGCTGAAAGTTCAGAGAAGTCAAACTTGACACTGAAAAAACTGTATTTCAGTTTATAGCATGTCTACAGCGATATTTCACAAGGTGGACTGACATGGCCAAGTGTGAAGATAGTTTTGAAGGACTGGCAGATATATTAAATATGTGAACAGTTCATGATCATTTTCTCCACTGACACGTCACTGTTCCTAAAGGACAGAGCACCAAAAGAGATGGATGAGATGATCAAGCTGGCAGAACAGTATATGGAAGCCAATGGAGAGAGTATAACTGGCAAGACCAAGAAAAACCAGTCAAAGTTGAAACCAGAGGTGGCTGACCAGAAGCAGGATGCCACCAAATGTGAACAGATATCAAAAGGTAAAAAGAAGGGATGCTGCGCTTGTTATAAAATGGAACACATTGTGATTGTGTGCAAGACTGTCACCAACAAGCAACAGCAGAAATCTCAACATAAAGCAGCTGGAGCTACCTACAAAGTTGGTGCTGGCAATAAACAAGAAAAGAGTGACTATCACCATGAGTGTTGCTGCCAGAAGAAACAGAGAGAACTCATCAGATTCACCACAAGAAGATTAATTAATGCAGGATTGATAGTCAGCTCAAGTTAGCAAATGGGTCAATCAACAGTGCCAGTGTTGATTGGAGCATAAGACAAACATCGAGAGGTGCCAACAAACCACAACATGCCATTAGGTGAAGGTTTTACACAAAAGTGAAAGTCCTATGAGACACTGGGTACAGCTGTGAGAACCAGTCTAGTATCTAATGACCAGATGACGGGCAAGGTACATCTGTGTGTGCTGATTGATGAGAAAGTGAGAAAGTTTACCATAGCAAGAATAAAGGTAGACACTCCATACCACGTGGAAGACCTTGAGACTTTGTGTATAAATGAACCTATCTATGACTTGGTGATTGGCAACATACTATGCAGTAGAAGTTTGGAGGAACCAAACAGAAAGGAAACTGATGAGGCATCTGCAGTTACCACAAGAAATTGAGAAAAACAAGCAAGACACCAAGCCTCTGCAAGTTCCAAAAGGTGACATCCCGATTGTAGGTCATTGGGATCTGAAGGAAACACAGAAGAAAGACCTTTCACTGCAGAAACTTTGGGACAATGCCCGGGAGAAAGTTGAGCACAAGACAAAGGGGAAAAAGACGTACAGAATGAAGGACTAGAAGGGAGTGCTGTACCAGATCTATCAAGACAGTTCTACTGGGGAAATTAAACAGATCATAGTACCAAAAGAATGCCAGACTCAAGTGATGAAGTTGGCTCTTGATTCAACTGTGAAAGGACACCTAGGAGTGAAAAAGACAGCAGACACAATCACCAGCAACTTCCATTGGTCGGGGGGTCATTGGAGATGTGACCAAATCCTGCAGGTCATGTGACATCTGCCAAAGGACAGTAACTACAGGAAAGGTAGCCAAGATGCCTCTCATACAAGAACCATTCAGCAGAGTAGCTGTGGACTTGATTGGACCACTAGCACCTGTATCTGACATGAGCAACCAGTGTGTGCTGACAGTAGTTGACTATGCAACATGTTAACTATGACTCTCTTAAGGTAGCCAAATGCCTCGTCATCTAATTAGTGATGCGCATGAACGGATTAACGAGATTCCCACTGTCCCTATCTACTATCTAGCGAAACCACAGCCAAGGGAACGGGCTTGGAGAAATCAGATGAGTTTGTGGATAGCAAAGATAAAGATGGAGAGAATAGCAAAAGCCTTCCTGGAAGTGTTCTGCAGAGTGGGATTTCCAAAAGAAGTCTTGAGTGACAGAGAGACCCAGTTTACCTCATAACTGGTACAAGAGGTGTACAGACTCATCAGCACTAGGCAGCTCTTTACCACCCTGTAAAACCCCAGATGTAATGGACTTTGTGATAAAGTCAAAAGGAGTCTTAAAGAGCATGCTGAAGAATATGTGCCAGGAGAAACCACATGACTGGAACAGGTACCTGTAAGCAGTAGTATTTGCTTACCGAGAAGTCCCACAAACAAGTACAGGATTTTCACCCTTCAAGTTATTGTACAAAAGAACAGTATGAGGTCCAATGCAGATATTGAAAGAGCTGTGGACAGGAGAAGAAGATTCAGAAGAACACATACCAGTACATGTTAAACATCAGAAACAGACTGGAGGTGACCTGTCAACTCACTCGAGAAAGCTTGTATGCAGTTCAAAGCAGTCAGAAGCACTTATATGATAAGAAGGCCAAGAATCAATGTTTGAAGGTAGGACAGAAGGTTTACCCACAGACAACTACAAACTCACTCTGCAGTGGAAAGGACCTTTTGAAAGTGCAGGAAGTGGTCAACAGAAAGGACTATAAGGTGAAAGTTGACGGGAAACCAAGATCTACCTTGAAGAGGTACTTTGAGAGGGAAAAAGACCTAACAGGTGCAGCTATTGAGGCACAGATGGACATTGCAGATGTGGCTGTCATAGATGCAGTACCAGAAGATGATGACTTTGTCATAGAAGATGAGGATCTATTAGACCTAATACCACTAGGTGGAGATGAGATGTATAAATGTCAACATCAATAAAGAACTGACTAGCAAGACGGGCCTTTTGCAACACAAGATCGAAACAACAACCAGGAATCCAGTCAAGTTGAAGCCTTACCAGATGTCCTATGCAATGAGAGACCTGATCAAGCAAGAAGTCGAGGTAATGTTAGAAGCTGGAATCACTGAGCCTTCGAATTTAGCCTACTATTCACTGGTAGTATCCGTGAAGAAGACTGATGGCTCAAACTGCTTCTTCATAGATTTCTGGAAGCTGAGCTTCGTAACAAAGTTCAACTCTGAACATATAGACAACCCAGAAGCTATCATGTTGAAACTAGACAGGGCCAAGTTCTTTACTGAGATCGACCTCAGAAGAGGTTATTCCAAATGGAGACACAATCTAAAGAGAAGAAAGCCTTTGTGACACCACATGGATGCTACCAGTTCAAGAGGATACCATTTAGGTTAGTCAACTCAGCACCAACATTAAACCACATGATGAGAAAGATACTGCACAAAACCACCAACATTGAGCATTATGTGGATGACATCCTGACCCACACAGCCAGATGGGAAGACCACCTGTAGAAACTCAGAAAGCTGTTCGGGTGTGTAACAACAGCAGGTGACCATCAGACCCTCTAAGTGTTACAATGTACTGGACTTTCTTAGACACAAGGTGAACCATGGAAGAGAAGAAACTAAACTGCATAGATGCATCAGTTCCAACTACTAAGCAACAAGTCGGATCCTTTCTGGGGTTAGCGGGACACTATAGGAAGTTCATCCCAAACTATGCTGAAGTTGCTGCATCACTGACTGACCTGATCAAGAAAGGCCAACCCAACAAGGTGAATTGGGAACAACCACAGTAGATAGCATTCCAGAAGTTGAAGAACATGTTAGAAAGATTGCCAATCCTTAGAATGCAAGACTTCAACAAACCAATCATCATTCAGACCAATGCATTAGACGTTGGAATTGGAGCAGTACTTCCGCAAGAACATGTAGGCAGACTGTTTCCCATTAGTAAAAAGCTGTTGAGTAGTGAGAACTACTACTCTGTGATTGAAATAGTGTCTGGCCATCATACTTGCCATCTAGAAATTCTAGAACTACCTCTATAGGTAGGAGTTCACCATCCAGATGGACCATCAGCCCCTTGCATATATCCACAGTTGCAAAATCAACAGTGCTAAGTTCATGAGGTGGGTGTTGTACCTCCAGAACTACCGGTTACATATTGAGGCCATCAAGAAAACTGCAAATGTTGGTGCACAGACTGTACGAGTAGACTTTGTGCATGAACTGAAAACAGTTTTTGTATATAGCATAACAAAATATTTTCATTATTTTTCTTGAATAGGGGCTTATTGTTAGATACACACGACTGTTTTCCTTTAAATTTAATGTGAGAATTATGATTTAGATAGTTATATAGCTTGAGTGTTAAACTTATTTATTTTTAGAAGCAATTGTTTATTTCATTTCCATTTCGATTTTTCAATACTAATATAAAGGCTTGGTTTAGCCTGAATTTTCATTTGTGGTAGTGTCCAGGGTCACTGATGAGGAGTGGAATTCTCAGAAACTAGTCTGGCTCACAGACACACCCCCAATG